CTATTGGAAAATGTTCCACTAAATATAAAACGCCGAATGTGGATATTACATGATGGAGCTCCACATCATGCTCAACCCGTTCGCAACTTTCTGAACCCTAATTTTGAAAACAGGTGGATTGGAAGAGATGGCCCAGTTATGTAGCCTCCCAGGTCCCCTGACCTCACTAAAGTAGATTTTTTTTTGTGGGGTTTCGTAAAAAACAAGGTTTATAAAACTAGTGCATTAACTAGCGAGGAAATGAAGGAAAGAATAAGACAGCATAGATGTACAATGTTTGAAAAATGTTCAAAGATCATTTGAAGCTAGATTACATTGTATTGCAGTTGGAGGGAGTCGCTTTGTGCAGATTTTATAATAGCTTTTTTTTTTCATTTTTTAATATACTAATGTTGCATTCTAAATAAATTAAAATAACTTATTTTTGAGACATATTTTTTTCATTCAAATATAAAATATCTTCTAAACTGTTGTGGTTAGGGATAGGGACAAACGAACGTATAATTAAAGTATTTTTAGTAGAGATATGAAATACAGGGTGAACCTAACCTTAAAAGTAAAGAAAGTAAATTCAGTTGATAATACATTGTTGCTAGGTACCTTAAAAATATAAACTGATTAAACAGTATATTTTAACAGGAGTTTAAATCAAATTACATTGTGAATTTAGTTATAATAAACCCTTTTTAACATTTGATCTAAGAATCTCGCTAAACTGTTGTGTTTAGGTATAGGCAATATTTAATTCAAACGAACGTATAATTGGAGTACTTTTTAGTAGTGATAAGAAATACATAGGGTGTATTACATTTAAAAAAATTGAGAAAATCATGTATCTGAGTTTTGACTCACCCTGTACACGTCTATTGCACTAGGAAAAAATTAGTATATTCTTATAAAAGTAGACTATCATTAAAAATGATTCATCAAAAAATTTTGATGTTCGATTATTTCTTTTGAAATATACAAAGAGTTGAACCTAGTACGATTTTCATATAAAATTGGTTTAAACTTCCAAAATACCCAGTATAACCTCATACATGTTGGTATTTTTTTGAAGGGCAAAGTCAGGAAAATTCAAATTTTCAATTAAATACAGGGTGGTCCATTTAAAAAAAACAGGTTTGATCAATTCTGAAGTTATGAATCACTCTGTATAATCGAAAATAATTTTGAAATGTGCAGATTAATATTATCTACAACTTTGGTAAATAACATTGTTTGATATTTTCTATAATATAGGATATATCGAACTTCCACACACTATTGGGACACCCTGTATATAAATACATAGTTAACGAAATATAAAATAATAAAATTCATAGGAATAAATGTAAATTTGATAAAAATATTCGCTAAACTATAGCTAATTTCTAACCTTGACACTATATTAACCTTATTTAGTTAATAAGATAATTACAGCACCATTTATGAATGTCTAAATCAATTTGTTCAATGAAAGGTGAGATGATAGAAATAAAAAAAAAATATATATATTATATTATTTTATTTCATAAATGAATAATTTTTATTACTTAAGGATTTCCCAGTTTGCTTAATTTTCTGTGGTAAACTAAAATGAGTAAATGGTTTTTACATGAATAATAATACATTTAATCTTTGCGACATATTCTAATTTCTTCAACAGTGGTCGGCAAATCTACGTAGGTGATGAAGAAATCTAGAATAAATCTAAAATAATTAATGATACCTACTCACTTTTTATTGTCTGGCTTAGATTTCAGGACTCCCTGTATGCTGTTTCCATGCCGCTGGAAACAGCATACTGCACATTTTGTGTCGCATGTGACCTTTTCAAACCAAACGCAGTTAAACGGATGTCTAGTTAATGCAGTTCTAGGAATTCTAGTGTGATCTGTATCTGTAACGTGTGGAGGGTGGGTTACCCCCACGGCACTTAGGCCTCATTAGGCCCATTGTGCATCCTCCTAAGATGATAGGCACCTCCTAGCTCGTCAGCCAGCCTGCAGATTTAATGTAGTTCACAACGTCGCCAACAGGTGCTTCTCTTATATCGGCCGATGTTAGCCGATACTCGCCGAACACAAATCTTCTAATAAATGAGAGCGTCGGACAATCGTAAAGGATATGCTCGATGGTCTCATCTTCTTGTTCGCACCCTCTGCAGAGTGCGGATTCTGACAGCCCCATGATATGGAGATGCTTCCGTACTTGGCAATGACCAGTCAGAATACCTGTGGTCAGACGCAGATTCTGTCTAGTCATAGTCAAGTATTTGTTTGCTGCAGTGTTGTCAGGATAACTCAAGAGCTCCCTGGCAACTATGCAGTTTCTTGTTTCATCCCATCCTTTCTTGAATTTCACAAGGGAATGTTCTTCAATTAGGTCTGTCACTACCGATTTTGTCAAGCCAATAGAAGGACCAGGTCCAAAAAGTATTTGGTTGGCTGCTTTCTTGGCTAGTGAATCGGCAAGACGGTTACCTTTCGATGTGGCGTGACCTTTGATCCACCTTAAGGTGACCACATTGTTGATGAATACTTCGGCCAAAGCTTCATGACATTCTAGTACTAACCCTGAATAAATTCGTGGTCTGTTCAGGGTGAGTAGTGCTTGTCTGCTATCTGTATAGATGAGCATGTTCCTTCCAGTGATATTAATTCTGGTTATTTCTTTTGCTGCTATGAGAATCCCCGTTAGCTCTGTTTGAACTACACTGGCACTATTGCTCACAGCCCATTTTATGTTTAGGTTTAATAATTTGGAGTATATTCCGCATCCTGAGCCTTGTTTTGTTTTAGAACCGTCGGTGTAGATATGAATCGTACCTGCCACTTCTGGCTCTTCTATTTGTTCTATTATAACTTTATATGGCTTATGGAAGATATATATATCGGTGAGATGGAGTCCATATTCGCTTGAAGCAGTGGGAGCGAATCGAGCGCCTCCTGCCAAAAGTGACGTCTCGCCTCACCAGATCCTACATTAGGTTCTATTCCGACCGTGCGGAGGCGTGTCATTGTCGTCAGAGCAACCTCCTTGATGTAAATATCAAGGGGAGTGAGACTAAGAATGACTTCCATCGCTCTAGTCGATGTTGTTTTCATGGCTCCTGTTGTGTTGAGACATGCTGTTCTTTGAATTTGTTCTAGTTTACGGATAGCTGTTAATTTTTGGGTTTTCGGTACCCAAACAACTGCACCGTATGTTAGCATAGGTCTTATGATAGCCGTGTAAGTCCATGCGACGACTCTGGGGGAGAAACCCCAGGTGCGTCCCACAGTACGGCGGCATTGTTCATAAGCAATGTATGCTCTTTTAACTCTGTTTTCTAAATGCGAGTTCCATATTAACTTGCTGTCAAAGGTGAGACCTAGGTACTCCACGTCTGTCGCAAAGTTTAGTTTTGTGTTTAGGAGTTCTGGAGGTTTTAATTCCATTTTCATCCTTTTCCTTGTGAAAAGGACCATTTCTGTCTTTTTTAGGATTGATAGACAGTGAATGGTCCTTGCACCACTGTTCTATAATTCTATAATTTTTAGAGCTACTTGCATTCTTTCGCAGAGTATGTTCTCAAAATTCCCTGTTTGGCAGAATGACCAGGTCATCTGCATATGCGATTGTGTAGTGACTGTCATTATTGAGGCGGCTGATGAGGGTGTCGAGGACCATATTCCACAGTAGAGGTGATAGCACCTCTCCCTGTGGACATCCCCTCGCAACCAAACCTCTTATATTAACATCTATACTTATATTTACTGCTCGCTTTGAGAGCATGTTATGTATCCACCCACTAACCATTTGTGGAACATTCCTGTTGGTTAGTGAGTGTATTATCTTTGGGAAGGTGGTTTTATCAAAAGCACCTTCTATGTCTATGAAAACACCCAAGGCGGACTCCTTCTAGTGTGATATTTTGTTCTCTTTTTGTAAAAAATGGTTCACGTTCAATAAAATTGATTTGTTGGTTGGTTGGTTGGTTGGTTGGTTGGTTGGTTGGTTGGTTGGTTGGTTGGTTGGTTGGTTGGTTGGTTGGTTGGTTGGTTGGTTGGTTGGTTGGTTGGTTGGTTGGTTGGTTGATTGGTTGGTTGGTTGGTTGGTTGGTTGGTACAGGATAACCGGAAAAAGTCTAGAATAACTTTAGGTAAGACAGGAAAATCATGTGTTAGGCATATCAGATTTTTTTTGTTTTTATTACCGTTTGTATATTGGAAAAATTTGTCTGTAGTAATTTAAATTCGTCTTCTACTTTGGAAATATCGAAAATGTAATCCAGTTTTGTTTTAGCTTTTTCTTAATTTGAGTCAAGTGTCTTAAGATTGTCGGTAATACTATGGAAATGTTGGTTGAGTCAGTTTACAGTTTGTGAAGTCGATGGTTACGAGGAATTCAATTTATAGCAATATTTTCGTCATATCAATAGGGGCTTAGCCGTCTTTTCTCCATTATTTTCTTAAAATTAACTGGATTTGTTGATGTATTCCTCGTCCAGGATCTCTAAACTTCTACGTTAGTCTATTAAAATAGACCGATTTGACACGATTTTCGTTGTCACACCGTTACGCAATCCTACTGACTGTGCCACTTTTAGACTTACCAATAGAAATTAGATTTTTAAAAAACAAAAACTTTCCAAACAGCGGGACACTATAAAATGTATAGTGACAAAGCTAGAAATGCCGGCCACTAGATCTTAATGAGGCTCTTATCTTGGGACTTGTACTGTCTGCATAATAATAGTTGTCCACGTTACATTTTTTGTGTTATCAAATCATAACTGGATATTTAAATTCGTTAGTATATAAAATACTGTCAATATTTCGATATCTTAAAAGCATTTTTGATAATTAATTTTTTTGTAAACAGTATTAGAAATTGCATGATCTTGAAATTATAATTGAAAAGAAGTTTTACTTTGTAGTGAATTAATACTCGCAAGTCATTTTTTGATATAAAATATTTTATTATTTTTGTTTTTAGTTTCATTAATATGTACTATAATGTAATATATTTTTCAGGCGGTGCACCGTACCCTCCTGCGCCTTATCAATCGACCGACTACAGTGCCAACCCCCCACCATACGACGTTGCAGTGGCGCAGCCTCCAATTCAACCTCCATCGTCCAAAGACAGCTACCAAAAACAATCCCCCTACAATCCAGGATACAACTAGACTTAAGTCGGGAGAGCTTGTTGGCCCCGATTCTTAAATATGTTCTTTATCGTTTTCCATTAACTTTTTAATATCATTGAAGAACAAATTAGGTTAGGTTTTATTCGTTTATGTGATACAGTAATGGAACTGTTTAATTATTACAAATTTTATGTCAAACGCACGACTTAGTTAAGGAATAATTTTTGTAAATAAAAAAAAGGTTCTTCAGTAATATTAATTGATTTTGGGGGATTTAAGATGCCAAATCTTGAATCTTTATGATGTTAAAATTAGTTTTTGATACTCGTCTAATGTTGTCAAAGTAGGTTCAGAAAAACTGAAATACTAGAAGCTAAAAACTCTTTATTACTAATGAACAGATTCCGTAATTTTTGAAGAAAATGCGTGTTTTTTGTATGAACGATCTCTTTTAGTAGGAAAGTGTGCATATGAAATTGTACAATCCTTATAACAGAGAAAAATTTTAATTTAATGTTTTTTTGTTCAAATTAACGTTATAATCAATTTTTAGTTCCAAGTTCCATAGAACGCCGTTTGACATTTTTGCTGTCAACTGTAAGAATTTTTATTGACAGGTGACAGGTAACTATTAAATCATTAAAATTATGTGTTTTTAAATCTGTCACATTTTCAATGTTATTCGGATTTTAACATTTCGTAGAAGATTTTTACATTTTCTTTGTTTCTCCGTTTCAACCAAGAGAGAATACGTGATCAAAAGCTGTTCAATTGTACTAGTCTACAATGCAAAAACTAGTCTAGAACTGTAGAAATACATTTCTTTGTTCGATGAGTATTTATTCCATAGTAATGTCGTTTTTTTTTTCTCGCCCTTTGATTCCTCGTACTATGGTCTTGATCTAGAGTTCAATCTGTCACATATCGACGTTTATGTCATTTTTGACATGTTCCTGTTAACGATAATGTCAAATCTTAATTCTCACTTGTCGTTTAGAAAGAACATTTTCTGGCAGATTCCTAAACGGGTTCTATGACAAAATCGGCCATTTTTACGTAGACACTAATTTAATTTGACTTTTCTAGTCTTGACTTTTGACGACTACTTCATAACAAACTTTTAGCAAAAAATCGATACCAAACAGAACCCCATTGCAAACATTTGTGTTGTTTTCTCACTAGTTTTAGTAACTTTTTTATGGGTTGGTACGAGCGGTGAACTACTCCCGAAATACTGGTACGTTTTCACTTGGAATCGTTAACAAATACTTTCGAAATATCTGGAATTATCACAGAAATCCCGAAATCATCACCAAAACATGACAAAGAATGAGTCATTGTGGCCCGGAGGGTACGGGTTTGGAAACTATTATCCGGACTCCGGGTTTACATTAAAATTATCCGGGGAATCGCCGAGGTGGACCAAAAAAAAAATGAGTTCAGAGCAAAAACATTATTTCTCTGAAATCGTATAAAATTAAAGAGGGATACTATTATTTAATTTACGCCAAATGTTAAAAAGTTACATTTTGACGTTTTACGAATGATATTTATAGGTATATAAATTTTGAGAGATATCTACGATTTTGATGTCTCAAAAATATGTCAAAAACGTCAATGTGGCTTCGTTCGTCAAATGTAAAAGAAATCCATTTTTGACGAATGATGTTCATGGGTTAGTAGCGTTGTTTCGGAAGATATCTACGTTTTTAATATCTCAAAAATGTACGTCGAAAACTTCAATGCGAGGGAGAAACCACTAAGGTCAAAACATACCCGTATTTCGGAAATCACCTAAAAATGTTTTATGTGATTTCGGTATTTGGCTGAAAATCCACCTTAATTTTATAAGCTGACATTTTTTGGACTATTTCCCTGTCTTTTGATACACAAGCTGCTGAATTTACGTTTTTGAGCGACAAATTGATTTCGAAGTGATTTCGCCCATGATTTTCGATGAAGATTTCAGAATTTTCGTAGTAATTTCGAGTAAAAAAACGTACCAGTATTTCGGAAGTGGTTTACCCCTCGCTTTAATGTTTTTATTGTCGATCTTATGCGATGTATAGAAAATGTCACTTTGTATTGACGAATGTCTTTAAGGCTTAACATTCGTCAGATGTAAAAGAAATCGCATTTTTGACGTTTGACGAATGATATTTATGGGTTGGTTGCACTGGTTTGGAAGATATCTACGAGTTTGAGGTCTCAAAAACGTCAATGTGGCTAAATGTTCGTCAAATCTAAAAACATCCATTTTTAACGTTTGACTAATGATATTTATGAATGGTAGCACCGGTTCGGAAGATATCTGCGATTTTGATATCTCAAAAATTTGCGTCAAAAACGTCATGTTTTTTGATCTTACGCGATATATAGAAAATATCACATTTTTGTGTTTGACGAATGCCTTTAAGACAACGTTCGTTAAAAGCCAAGAAATCACATTTTAAAAAATATCTACAATATTTATGTCTCAAAAATGTGTCAAAATCATTAATATTTTTGACGGTTGACGCATTTTTTTAACGTTAATCTTACGAGAAATATATAAAAAGTCACTATTTTGACGAATATCTTTAAGGCTTAACGTTCGTCAAATGTATAAGACATCGCAATTTTGACGAATGAGATTTATATATTGGCAGTTCCGGTTTGGAAGATATCTACGATTTTGATGTCTCATAAATGTACGTTAAAAACATCAATATTTTTAACGTTGATCTTACGCGATATATATAAAATGTCACATTTGTATGTATGGCGGTTGTCTTTAAGGCTTAACATTCGTCATATGTGAAAAAATCTGTCAAAAACGTCGATGTGACAACGTCTGTCAAATATAAAAGATATCGAATTTTCGACGTTTGACGAATGATATTTATGAGTTTCTAGCACCAGTTTGGAAGATATCTACGATTTTGATGCCTAAAAAATGTACGTTAAAAACATCAATGTTTATATGGAAAATGTCACATTTTTGCGGTTGACGAATGTCTTTAAGACTTAAAGTTCGTCAAATGTACAAAAAACACATTTTTAACGTTTGACGAATGATATTTAATGGTTGGTAGCACCATTTGAAATATATCTACGATTTCCATGTGTCAAAAACGTCAATGTAGCTTATAACTTTCTTTAAATATAAAATAAATCCCATTTGACGAAAGTTAACTTTCGTCAAATGTACAAGAAATTTTTTACGTTTGACGAATGTCTTTAAGGCTTAACCTTCGTCATATGTAAAATAAATCGCATTTTTGACGTTTGGCGAATGATATTTATGGGTTGGTGCACCAGTTTGGAAGACTGTCAATATGGCGCGTCAACATCCAAATGGCGATCTTGGAATCGGAAGTACAGTTTTTGATAATTTTCATATATTATCCATTATTTAAGAGACCGTTAAACTTAAAATTGTACCAAACAAATTAGTATATTTAATGCTAACATTGAAAACATAATATTTTAAGCTATATACCAAGCGAAGTAGAATAAGTGATGACAAAATCAATGGAAAAAAACGAGCCTATATATCAAAAAAGAGAAGTCGTTTGACGCATGTTTAATTTGGGCGAAATGTTGAAAAGTTATATTTTGATGTTTGACAAATGATCTTTATGGGTTAGCAGCACTGGTTTGGAAGATATCTACGATTTTGATGTTTAAAAAATATGCCCTCATTTTTTGGACGTTTGACAATTATTAAATGTACCAGAAAATGCATTTTCTTGTTCGAAAAGCGATGCTTGAAATAAAGCAACTAAACGTACGCAGATTGTGTTTGGCGTTTGTATCTGTCACTTGTCATTTTTCGGTTAACACAGCACAGATACGCACGTCTATTTTTGGTTATTTGATTGTTTAAACTTGAGAATGCCAAATTTTTGACGTTTGACGCATTAAGTTCTTTCGTTCGCAGTGTACACCAGTTACACCACCTTTATTTACCTAGTTTATTTCCTCCTTATTTCTGATTACATGGCGAGTGTAGTTCACTCCTGCTAAATAGCTGGTGGAGAAAATATCCACCAGTGGACACCACATCGCCGATAGGAAGGTGTAGTGGAATTTATACCGGGCCAAACAAAAGGCGTGGTGTGCGTTGGTGTAGTTAATTCCTACACTAGTGGGACGAACGAAAGAACCTATAGTTTTTAAGGTCAAATATAAGTAACACGTGATGTGCACGTCAAATACGTCACGGTTTTAACGCACTGCTACTAACTAAAAAAAAACTGTTAATAAAATTGGTACCAGAACTATCAAACCAAACTTTATAAAGATTTACTCTTAAAAATAACTTATTTTTGGTTCAGATCACTATTTAAATGGCCGACTTTGTAACTGATGCTCAAGCTAGTAATTTAACCCAAATTAAGTTGGTAATCGTGTTTAATAATTTTTAAATTTCCCGACACTCAATGTTTTAGTGGTGCTTTTCTTAGAGTTTTCTAATCTCTTCTCCAGTAGCCTCTATCGTTAGCTTTCGTCTTTTGCTACTTCGAGTAGCTATTAAGAAAACTCGCTACCTAACTTTTCAACTGTCAACTTAACTGTCATTAATGACATTAATATGGAATATCATCATGTTCATCGTTAACTTCAAAAACTACGCATTTCTAATAGCCAGCGAATTTTTATACACGTTTACTTAATTAACTGATTTTAAACAGTAAATTTATATATTTTTACTGAATATTGACTATTTTTTGAGACATCTAATTCATATAATATTGCAAGAGAGGTAGGAAATAAAAAAGAAATAATTATAAATCTTGATTTCGAAACATTATTTTTGTTACTTTTACTGATAAAGTGAGAACATTATAAGGCAAAAAAGAGGCGTGATAGTTTGCAATAAGTTTAAGGAAATTATTTTTTGCTTGTGAGTCCTCTGGTATCGACTCTCTGACTTTATTTCCATAAAACGCGGTATAAATGATAACTGATGTTTCTGTTGTCAATTGTCAGAGTTTGAAATCAATATCATTGACAGGTGATAAGTATTAACATTGTACTTCAAATTAATGAAATCACGAAAGGATATGCGACATAAATGACCTAAAGCTAAAATATGTTCACCTGATTCCCTTTTACTATCCAATTCCCGTAATTCTTTTTAAATTATCTCTATAATTTTGTTTGCATTTCTCGTAATTTAACCATTCGTTTAAATATGTAAATTCCTGCCTATTTCTTACACTTGTACGTCTAATTTTATCTGCAGTTTACACCTAATTAATAACAAAAATAAGTATTAAAATGGTTCTTCAAATGTGAAATTATTGAAATGACAAAAGGCTACACTTATGGAGGGTAGAGAAAAGGAGGACAATCTTATATGGATCTTTATATTAAAAAGTGGCCACCAAAATGTATACAATTAAGATGGCGCTCGTGTAGCCAGGGGACAAAATCCAATGCTATATAGTCATATAGATTGCTCATTTATAATTAAATCAGACAGGAAGCAGTAAATTGAGACCTCCGTGTCATTTTAATATAAGAATTATTTATTGTTTATATTATTATTTTTCAATAAAGTTGACTATTGTCGTGTATTGTCAAAATTTATCTACGATCACAGAACACTTACTCTTCTACGATCAGTCACTTTTCACGGTGTAGTTTTTAGTTTTTTTATGGTTGAGCAATATTTATTACTATATACATCATTGGTGTCATTGTGTGATCTGAATTATCGACTGCCGACGTCCCCTGGGCACAGAAGCGCCATCTTAATTGTATACAATTTGAGGGACACTTTTTGTATACAGAGATTGTTCTCCTTTCCTCTACCCTCCATAGCTACACTGGTTCTCGATCAAAATTTGTCACTTGTCAATTTATAAGAAAATCGTAGTCATTTTTTTACAATGTTGGTAAATTTAGAAGCTTAACACTTTCTAATAGTTTTAGAATGATTTTCAAGATCCCAATATCATTAAAAATTGGTTGAAAACGCCACTAATATAAGCGTTTTTGTATAACATCAGTTTGAATATAATCTAAATTTATTCGAAAATTGCTGCAAATTCTTCTACTTTAAAATTATTTGAGCTGTAGTAGAATTCTCCTGGGTCTTCCCCATGTAATTTTTTCTAGGACTTCATATATGAAAATTCGCCTAAATTTTTAATACGCGGATATATAGGCAACTGAGTTATTAATAAATTGAATTTGGATTACAATTATGGGTTATTTGTCTTTTATCGTTTATACATTGTTTCTGTTATCTGATCTCTATTAGTATCGTTCATTTGGTTCCTATTTGCTTTTTCGTCTTCTTTATACCTGTCGTCATTTTCCAGCTTTCTGGGTCTGTACTTTCTACTTTTCTTGTACCTACTAGTTTCCATCACTCTTACCATGTTATGTAAGTCTTTTTATGTGATACTAAGAGTTGAATGCAACTTCATTTGTACCTACATTGGTTATCTTTATAACTTTTTGTCTGGTTCATCTATGCCCATTCAAAAGCATTCATGCTTCTCCTCGTAGTCATTTATTGCATTCTATATCTCTCTTCTAATTTTATAGCCAATTTTCTAACTTAATTTTCACAAATACCACTCTTAAGATGGCAGTTTTTAAGCTGTGTTTCTCATGCAACAAGGAAATGTTTTCGTTGAGCATAATAACAAAAAAGCTGTGAATTAGGAAAGAAAAGTTAATCGTTCTCACTCTGCCTCTTGCTGCCTTTTCTCATATTTCATATTCTACTAAATTGCATTTAATTCATTTCCAAGCTACATTGTTGCCATTTTATCCGCATTGTGCCAACACACGTTTTGTACATGGTCACTATTTTACCCTCGCCCTTGTGACATGTAATTGTTCTGTTTACGTCGCCGTTGACAGCTGTCATTCATTCAATTTTACCAACCAATCAGAAGCTTGTTTCAGGCAGCTGCCTGCCAAAAAACAAATTGATATCTTTTATTTTTCAGATTCCGAAAAAATGTTATTTGCAAAATGTACTTAGTGTTTTGATTTCTTACTCGTGTTAATGATTTTGGAATTATGATAATCCATCATCAAATTATTTTTAAAATAAAATTGTCAATCGATACCAAGGAACTACTAATTTCTTCCAAATAAGTTTGTACTTTTTTTTTAACGAATTCAAATATATTTTTTTAATTCAAAATATTTGGAGATCATAATTTTAAAATGTTTTTTTTTAATCGTATTGCAGTGGACAATTGTTTCGAAAAGAAAGCATTAAATTAATGCCTAAATAGCCCTTCAGAAATAACTCAAATTCCATTTTCCTTCTTTTTAATAGCTTTTGTAATTTTATTTTTTAAATCATTTAAATGGTAAATAAAAAAGTTTGTGTAACATTTCAGTTATTTCTGCGGAGCCACATATATACCGACAGGGTCCAAACTGCTTCCGGATGCCATTTAAAACTATGGCGACACGGTTACAATTCAGTTTTTTTATTTATGTGTTATGCTTTTCAATGTGATATACTATGCTTAAGGGTACGATTTAAGTGTAAATAAAGCAAGGAAAAGAGTTAGTTTTATATATGTAATGTTGGATTTGTCAATAATAAAAAAGAGGAGTCAACACGATGAATTACTTCAAAAGTGGAAAAAAATATATTTTATGATATGTAAGACTGTATTATAACCAATTAAAAAGCATTGTCTATATACATTTTAGTGTTTTATTTTTTAATCTCGATATTTTTCTCGCCGAGAAATTTTTGAAAGTGGTTGTTCCAGTAGTTTCAGATGTTTTTACATAAATAATCAATCCCACAGTGTTGGATCGTGCAATCTAGGTGACCAATCCTCTTTTAGAAAGAACTCTTTCGAATACCTTTTCTGTATCAATAAACACCATGCCCACCCATATTCGTTTCTGCATGTATTTTTCAATAACTTCCCTAACAATAAAGCTCTCGAACCTTCCCGGTGTGAATGCAAAACGTGTCTTTTTTTCCACCGGTTTGTTGTAATCGTTGTTTCACCGATGCGACCTTGAACGCCGATTCGGTTTATTTGTGGTTGAGCGTTGAAATAAATAACAGTTGACAGTTGTGCTTTGTGTGTTGTTGGTAGATTAAAATTTTTATTTTGTGATTTTAAATTAAATAAAGTTTATTTTATTTTTCGGCATAATATGTAACCCTAATATCCCTGCAAGCGCCGAATGTCCGCAACAGCAAGACTTTTATAGCACGTCTCACAGAGGTTACAAAGTGAAGTTCGAAAAACATCACACTAGCACTTTTTGGGGTACTTACACCGAAAGTTGCTCTGAAACGTTCTATAGATGGTATAATCTGACTTAGTTCTACACGGATGGACTTAACTATACTTGTAAGAATATTTATTTTAAATTAAAAAAATTCTTCATAAATATATTTTTAAGTATAATTAAGTCCATCCGTGGAGACAATATATTGTTCTTTGTATAATGTAATGCAGATTGGCTGAAATTGAGATTTTAGTAAAATTGACAAGGGGGGTAGCCATGTGCGAGTTGAGGTAATTTTAAGGTGAAGGGTGAGAAAAAGTCCTTTATATCTCACAAGGAAAGTCAATGTTTAATTGTTTAACAAAACATTGAGTGCGACCGGTTTCGAAGTGTCATCACTTCATCTTCAGGCTCGCCTAGTGGAAAGGAGAATATGTGGTGTAAGGTGTGTTAACTTGGAAACAGAACGATATATAAAATAATAAAAAGAGAAAACTCACCATACTCTACATCCACTAGGGAATACTACAAAAACAAGTTTCATCAATTTTGGGTTGAAATAAATTGTAAAATGAACCGATTTACACGTAATAAAAAGTTAAAAATATTTGAAAAAACAAATATTAGTCAATTATAGTAAAAATTTTAAAATATTCAAGACTATACAAAAACAAATCACATACATTAAACAGATTAAAAGATAAGGCCTATTTTAAACATTGTTGTTTTTTAAAAAAACTAACATTTTTTTAAAGGAGACCTGTCAAGTTAAGGCCTCTACTACAGGTGGTGGTAAGTATTATAACGAAAATTCTTGGGTAAACTTATGACAGGGTATAGTTAATAAGATGTAAACTATGAGTGAAGAATTATTTATTATCTATTATATAAGATTTGGGCCATGAACCAATCACCAAGTGTATGTGATGTTGTAGGAAGAAGAAAGAAGAAGAAATGACTGGGTTAACTGTTGTGAAGCAACTGAAGAATAATTTTCTTCTTTTATTCTTCAGTTGCTTCACAACAGTTAACCCAGTCATTTCTTCTTCCTACAACATCACATACACTTGGTGATTGGTTCATGGCCCAAATCTTATATAATAGATAATAAATAATTCTTCACTCATAGTTTACATCTTATTAACTATACCCTGTCATAAGTTTACCCAAGAATTTTCGTTATAATACTTACCACCACCTGTAGAGGCCTTAACTTGACAGGTCTCCTTTCAAAAAATGTTAGTTTTTTAAAAAACAACAATGTTTAAAATAGGGACCGTGCGTGAAATATAGAGGCAGCACTACTGCCGAAGTTAGCCCTCTCTAGTGTTTAATTTTAGAATTAAATGGGGTAAACATTGCAAGTAAATAATAAAGAATATTTTTTAAAATATTAAATATAGTTAAAAATAGATACCGGCCCGTACCAAACAATCGTGTACATGGTCAAAATGTGTAAAATGTGAAACATTATTAAAATCTGGACATGTATATACATTTTAAGCAAAAATATTTAAATGGCTAAGTGACAATAAATTATAAAGTTGTACCTTAAACAAGTGTATCCAATGTCAAAATATCGGTATTTAGTAACACTGAATTTAAAAGTATTACAATAACATTTAAAAAATGTAAATCAATAAAAAAGATTGATAATAATAATAAATCTTTTTAGCTTTGTTAGTCGAAATGTCATTCATCCACTGACGTTTATGAGATTTCCAATGATACATATTATAGATTGCTCACCCATTTATAAAAAAAATTATGAAAAGCGGGTTGCAATGTGCCTTTCCTAGTGCTCACTAAATAGAGCCGTTCTAGCCCAAATGTGTTTTAAAATAAAATTTCAGCATTTTAATCTTTAGAAAAAGAAAATAATTAAAGTTTTACTTCAAGACATGTTATTATGTATTTGGAAAGTTGAGTTTCCATGTAGTTAAATAATATTAAGAGATCTAAACAATTTTTATAACAGATGGATATAAATAATTTTTTCTACGTTCATGCAAAAAAACAAAACTTTATTGAACTATATTTAGTGAAAAAACTGAGTCTTTATTGCACTAGTGCAATAAAAATTTTATTGCACTCATCTGTCATTTTACTACAGCGTTTTATGATCATGACAAACATAAATATTAAAATCAACGCCAAATATTTAGTCCATTTTCATTTTATGTAATACGTTTTAAAAACAATTGCATATATTTTATATTATTTTCAATCATTTAATAAATAAATTAATAAAAAAATGTATTTTATTAAAAATGTCATTACAAATTATGAATACAAACGTAAATAAATGCCTCAAACAAAGGTAGACGATCACGCCTACTATTGCTGCGTTTGAGAATCCACATCGGATGCATCTGAGATGTAAAAAATGTTTGATCACGTGATGCAGTATACGTAAATGTAATGGGACAGATGTGTCCGATGTGGATAAAAAAACGCTCGAGATGTAAAAAATGCATCCGATGTGGATTCTCAAACGCAGCATATGATTTGGATAATACAACTGCAGTCCTATAAAACATTTTTTGGTTTTTGCATGAACGTAGAAAAAATATTGTATGCAACTCGTGCAAAAAGTGTTTATTGCACTTGTTGCATAATTAACTATTAGACTACTCTTATTTCAGAAATAATAATACATAAAATACATAATTGTAATATGTAAAACAATTTTGAAAAGGTAATGTAAACAACTTTGAGGTGAGATATAAACAACTTTGGTAAGAGTTGTAATTGGACACTTACCTATTATTCTGAATAATGTTTAATGGTAATGTCACTAAAAACATTTACAAAAAATCACTGGATTTTTAATATTTTAAAGTTTGACAGTAATTGCAATGTATTATTTATGATTTGTTTATTTTAATAATAAATTGTAAAGAGGACCATGATATTTTTGTCAAATTGGACATTCCTGTTTCATAATAAACATTCTACATTAGTTTTAGAACAGAATAAACCATTAATTATCTGTAAAATTATATTTATATAAAATGTTCATTTAAATATGTAAAAATCTTAATGACAAGAAAACACTAAAGATTCTAATTTCTAAACCGGTTCTGTAAATGATTTCTTTACAAGTAAGTGCTCAAAATTGATACAAGCTAGATAAAAAGAAAACTTTGCCCAATGAAATACGCTTTTCGTTGTCTGATTTACATATGGATAAGCAATCTTTGTAATTATATCATTGGGTGTGAGACATTAATTGTTGTGCTCTGTGGAAATGTATAAAATTTCTTTACTATCGAATGAAATCCAGGTTTCCAAAGTGATGTGTTTGTACATCCATAGATGCAACAAGTTTTTTCGATAATGATATTACGAAAATAATTCGACTTTATTTAATTAATAATTATTAAACAATAAATGCCGTATAAAACATTAATAAATACCCCCCATAAAGTTCACATTTTTGTCACCAGTTAGCGTTAAAGTCATGACGCACGGTCCCTATAGGCCTTATCTTTTAATCTGTTTAATGTATGTGATTTGTTTTTGTACAGCCTTGAATATTTTAAAATTTTTACTATAATTGACTAATATTTGTTTTTTCAAATATTTTTAACTTTTTATTACGTGTAAATCTGTTCATTTTACAATTTATTTCAACCCAAAATTGATGAAACTTGTTTTTGTAGTATTCCCTAGTGGATGTAGAGTATGGTGAGTTTTCTCTTTTTATTATTTTATATATCGTTTTGTTTCCAAGTTAACACACCTTACACCACATATTCTCCTTTCCACTAGGCGAGCCTGAAGATGAAGTGATGACACTTCGAAACCGGTCGCACTCAATGTTTTGTTAAACAATTAAACATTGACTTTCCTTGTGAGATATAAAGGACTTTTTCTCACCCTTCACTTTAAAATTTTAGTAAAATCTCAATCGAGACAAAAATTTCAAATAAAACAAAATATTTACATAAATTTATTAATAAAATGTTCTTAAAATCAAGTACCAATATCAAAAAAGTAGAGGTAGGTATATCACAAACGCAATTACACGTGTGCGATAGTAGAACCTACCTATAAGCACTGAACGATTGGACAACATTAGCTATATAGTATAATAAGGTACCAATATTGCAAAGGTTCACTAAAAGCTTAAATGGTGAACAATTGTACAAAAGCATATTTATAAAAGGTATGTTTTAAAGGTTCACAAGATTTTTTACCAAGATGGCAATTGTACGATGCTAAAGCTAGATCAGTGAAGAATAATAATAGACGACTGCAACAATGACTAGGTACATATTATACTGATTTCTTACCTGTAGACGCAGAAATATATCATCTTTTTAAATGAAGCCTTTTAACTTTTTTTTGTCTAGATATGTACCTATATTTTTATTTTGTTAGTTTATTATTTATGCTTGGAAATATTTTCATTTATGCTATAATGTAACATAAATATATGACAATTTATTAGAAGAGGATAAATTATATTTTTATATAAAAAGATTTTACTTTTCTACAACATATTGAATAAAAAAGATATTGACCTACTTGTTTAACTATTATTAAAGGAAATGATATAAATATTAAAAAGCATGCTCAAGTTTAAATCGTTACACTTATTTTGAGATAAATTTGTCTTACTTTGTTGTTTTAAGTAAAACAATCAATGTATGTATTTAAATTTTTTTGAATTTTACAAATTTTGTGCTTAATTATGTATTTCCAAGTTAGGTATGCAAATTTTATGAAAAACAATTCATGTTTTATAGCAAGATACTCGCTGATATATACTCGAGAGCATCATCTGTGATTTCTATCAACTTTTCTTTTGGGTTTGTACTTGAAGTGATGTTTAGATTTCCAGATACATTCAAGTCT